TGAGACGAGGCTGACGACCGACCCCTGCCCCTTCCGACCCCTCTCCATGTCTTTCCGGGAAGAGGAAGGCTGCGTTTTCAGGGTAACCCATCGAAATGTGGCGTCCTTAGAGCGAGAGCGCGGGCCAGCAACTGGTTTGCCCACAGAGCGGGTGTGAAAAGCGAGCAGCGTCTGGGAGGTGTTTTGCTGGAGGGGCATCTTGCTTAGCTTGTAATTCCTCTGCATCACTTTTACGAAAGAGCGAGAAACTTTACTACCGACAGGACTTGCAGTGTTTTTCACCGGACCCTCTGCCTGGCTCCTCCGGTCTCCTTCCTTACCCGAAAGGGGACGTTGTGAACTACCTTGGGACTTAAATCACCATCAAGCGTTTCAATTTTTAATATGACAACATTCTACACTTTGGCTGCAAAAGCAATTATTGCGGCTTGTACATCAGTAATTAGCAGATCTTTGCTGATGTAAGGAAGGTCCTCATTAGGACAAGGAAATACTTTTTGTGCATTCACCCAAAGGGTTGGTTGGGTTTTGTTGTGGTTCTTTTTACTTTTTTTTTCTTCTGAAGGTTAATTTTTATCATCTAAATGGAAAATAACTTTTACACTAGATAGGATATTGACTTTCTGTGAACTTCACCAAATAACACATGTACTGTAGGTTTTCTCTCAGTGCTCCCACTGACACTCGGGGTAGGACAAATACTATGACTACAAAATGTAAAGCTAACATTTGGTGAAATAAAAATATCCAGAAGGTTTAGAGTGAGTCGTGAGATCCACATTGACATTTTTTTAAAAGTCGAGATATACAGCAAACTATGATCAGACGTTAATACTTAATATCATAAGCTTTAGTATATTTATCTTTGGGGAATCCTAAAAGAGAAATCAAATACAATGGGTTACAGTAATTAATTTATAAATCGTTTCACTGTGGGAATAAGGGGTTACTTTATTACTTTCTCGAGATAGGTTGTTCAGTCAATTAAGGAAATCTGCCTATTTCTTGCATTTGAAGCCGGATAAAACTGCGGGAGACATGTAAATGCGTTATATATATATATATATATGCCTCTTTCGCTTTACTGAGCATCTCGGGCCATAAAAGTAGGGCTACGGCATGGTCGTGTCACCAATGAACTCGCTCCTCAAAGCCTGCGAGTTTATTGCCATCAGTATTCATGAGGCTGGACGTACCCACGAGGAATAGAAATAAGAGCGAACATTAAGATAAAATCTATTACCAGGCCCGTGCGATTCTGAGCCTGGCTCAAGCCGTCTGCTCGGGGAGCTGGCTGTGTGTGGTGGGGAGAGGAGGGGCCGCCGAGGGCTGGTGACATGGGGGGCTGATCCCCGGCTTGCCCAGGGGAATCCCCCCGGGCAGCAGCCCCTGCACTCGGTGTAGAGGAGCAGGAGGGCTACGAAGCTGGAGTGGGAGTTAGGGTCGGGCTCTAATTTTGAGCGTTGCTTTAAAAGTTAGCGTGAAATTAGTGCTTCACCTCTTCAAAAAAAAATTAAAAAGAAATTTTTTTCCAAGGACCGCGAAGGGAAGTTTTACCTCCCGGACTTGATAGGTGACAGACCAAGCAGTGCCCTAAAAAACCCCTTGTTCTGCTCCTCCCTTCTCCTGAAAGATTAGACAGAGGGAAATCTTGGCTGCAAGTCCATACGGAGGCTTCTGCCTCCGGGGCAGCAGGAGGGAATGGGCGGGGGCCGGCGGCAGCCTCCCCAGGAGGCCCCAGCAGCCCGCCTCCTCCCCGGGGTCCGGAGGTTTTGCCAGCCCCATCCTTCGGGCAGCCGCGATGACAGAGGCCCGAGCACTTTCTGTGACTGGAGCGAGGAGCTTTTGAGAGGGGGTGTCTCTCCAGCCGGGCGGGACTGCTTCATCCCCGAGGAGTATCCAGCGGGACGCATATCGCAAGCTGCAGAAACAGCGTGCCCACCCACAACCCGGCGGCCAGAAGACACTGGAGAGGTGGGACAGGACCCTTAAAACTTCTAAAGGTCCTCACCTCCTTAGCTTCCGGCTGGCGCTAGGGCGGAGGTGTGAGTAGGGCTGAATTCCCTGCCTTTCTGGCCGAAAAAAATAAACCTGTGAACAGAAGGGGTCGTTTTAAAAGTACTGGCGGGGTTGAAGTTCCTCCAGCCAAGGACAAAGTCTCGTCCAGCAGCGCCTGCCTGAGCCTCCCATCCCCATCCCGCCGGTGGCTGCCTGCCCTCCCGGCCTGCCCTCGCTGCCTCGGCCCAACCCCTGCCAGCCCAGAGGTTAAAGACACGGCCGCAGCGCAGAGCAGGTCCCCGGTGTATGTGGGCATGAAAGAAGGTCACCGCTCAGCCTGGAAATCCTCCTCTCGGCAGCCTTTGCCACCACTTGCACAATTTTCTCTCCTCTCAATGTTTTCCTTAGGGAAACCTGGTGTACTTGGCCTGACAGCATCCTGGAGAGCAGGGTACGCGCAGAGGCGCACTGACAAACACCCAGGCATCCCAGGCGGAACAGCATCCCACGCCTTCCTCCATGGGACGAGGACGTGATCACCACTATCCGTGTCCCTTCCCCGTCGGGGTCTGCCCAGGAGCCCCCTGGCGCGTGCCGCGGGCTTGATCTCGCCGCTGGGTGGGAACGACAGGCTGCTGGGCTCGGGCCTTGCTCCTGCCTCTGGGCGCTTTTCAGCAACTTTGGAGAAAAACGGTGATGTCCCCCGCTTTCCTACTGCTCCCCATCCCTTCCCCAGGTGGCTTTTCCTTTACAAGCCATGATAGCTTAGAAGTAGCTAGAATAAGTCATATAGCTTTAAAAAAAGAAAAAAAATGAAATAAATACATATGAAGTATGGTTTGTCGATTCTGATACAATGATGTCGATAAATAAGGGGAGTCCAAACCCAGTTTCAAGTTACACCCTCTTCAGAGATGAAGTTGCATTCCGATACCCCAGGGGACGCAGTAATGGATGGAGACCTGGCTCCCCCTCGCACAAGTAATTGGCAGTCGTCCCCTCCTTCCTCCTGGACTGGCTGGGGAGCTAGGAAAGGGCTTATGAAGACAGATGTGGACTTCACCTGGGGTTGTGGTGTGTGCTCTGTGTGTGTGTGCATTCGAGTGTGTGTGTGTGCCTGTGCGCGCGTTTGCCTGCGTGCCATTTCGGCTGTGTTTATGCGCATAAATAAGAAGCGTTCAGGAGAAACAGAACAATTCCGTTGCACTCCCAGGCTGTCACATCCCTGATCCAAATATCCTGCTGCTTCTCCCAGTGGCTTGCCTGCCCGCAGCCCTGCCGGAACAAACAACATAGCATCTGGTCAGTCACCGAGGGACGGCTCCAGCGTGCCCCAGGGGACAGGATTCACCTTGGGCCGTTCGCTAAGAATCCACATTAATCTCGCAGGCACAGTAGCAGATTCACTGTTTCCACAGTTTTGCCTCCAACTCCATAAACAACTCCAAGAAAAAATTTAGTCTACTCTAAAACGGAACATAACCTTCGAATCACTCATAATACAGTGCACTATTAACCCTGGTGTGAGCCCTTAACTGGTTCAAATGCAAGAGTATTCAAAGAATAAACTACAGAAACGGGAGGGAGAGGAGAGAGAAAAATGCACAGAAAGATATGAAGGAAGGAAGGGAGGGAGAAAGGGAGAGAGAAAGGAAGAGAGAAAGGAAGAAAGAAAAACGAAAAAAAAAAAGAAAGGAAAAAGAAAGAAAGAGAGAAAGAAAGAGAAAGAAAGAGAAAGAAAGAAAGAGAGAGAGAAAGAAAGAAAGAAAAAGAAAGAAAGAAAAAGAAAGA